TGTCAAAAATTACCTATCAAACAAATTTGATATGAAAGATTTAGGAGTAGCAGACATGATATTAGGAATAAAAATTTCTAGAAGTGATAAAGGCATATCTTTATCTCTACAACACTCAATTGAGAAAATGCTCAGAAAATTTAACTATTATGATTGCAAACCTGTAGCTACTCCTTATGACTAGCATTTCTTTACATAAAAATTTAGGCGATCTTGTCTTACAACATAAATATGCTCAACAAATAGGATCACTAATATATATAACAAATAGAAAAACTTGTCATTGCATATGCAGTAAATAGACTGAGTATATATACTAGCAATCCTAGCATTGAACATTGGCATGCTCTAGAAAGAGTATTTAAATATCTTAGAGGAACCTTAGACTTATGTTTATTATACACTGGTTTTCCTGATGTAATAGAAGGTTATAGTGATGCAAATTGGGTAACTGACTCTCAAACTTCAGGCTATGTATTCATGCTAGGAGTTGTCATAGCATGGGGCTCTATTAACAAACTGTAATTGTTAGAAGTACAATGGAATTTGAATTGGTAGCTCTTGACGTTGCATGTACTGAAACTGAATGGCTTAGAGATTTACTTTTTGATATTTGTCTTGTACACAAACCTATTCCTGCTATCTCTGTGCATTGTGACTGTAAAGTTGTAATTGAATTGCTCAAACAGAAAACTACAAACTCAAAACTAAACAGACATCTGCAAATAAGATATAAATCAATAAAGAGACTCTTAAATCAATATGTCGACTCTTAAATCAATATGTCACTTTGGACTTTGCTCAATCAAAACATAATTTGGCACATCATTTGACAAAAAAGTCTAGCTAGGACTTCGGTCCAATATTCAGCCAAAGGGATGGGGTTAAGTCTAAATATATAGGAACATCGACAGTGGGAACCCTTCTTCTGTTATAGGTGATCTCTGAAGGAGGTTCAAAGGGTAGAAACAAGCCGGACAAATATATCCATTAGAGAGCACTCTTATTATACACGTGAAACATGATTCACATCGAAGCTAGGCACTCCAAACCTCATCCGAAGGTAAAGTTGCTCCATAGAGAGATCAGTCTAGGGTGAGTCATAAAACTCTTAATGGATCCAAGACTTAAAGCAGGATTCTTCTGGTCTCTTACATCCCTAGAGGATGCACCTACGTGAGAATCACCGTGCGGCCGCGGTTATGAAAGTCAAGGCTATTCCTATATATTCTCAGGAGTCCGTATTGAGCGCATGGCCAAATTAACGCGCCAACCCACGACCCAATAGAGTAAGCATTCTATGTGTACTTTTGTTATTTTTTGATAAAGAAGCCTAGTTCAAGACCTCGGGTCCACTATGGTTTCCTCAGAATGCAACAAATGTAACTAAGTGTAGGTTCAAGGTCGGAAACTACTTATACTGATGCATAGAATTTATGCACATTCATATTTTTTTTAATTTTGTTCTTTTTTAATTATTGTTTTTCTACCTTTGATATTTGCTTTGAGGCGGAATGTTGGATAAATAACAACAAATCAAATACCAAGACGTAACGAACTAAATTAATTAATTAATTAATTAATAAAAGTTAGTTTTCTCACGTTCTCAGGAACGTGAGAAATTCTTAAGGCTAAAAGATTTCTTTCTGTTTCTTCATAAGGGGCCCTTTTTTCTCTTATAAAAAAAGACCCTGCGAAGAGATAAAATATACACAGAAACTAGAAATTCCTCCTTTCTCTTCTTCTTCTTCCTCCATCAAATTTTTGGTACAATTTTTTGACTGCTTACTCAAGGGTCATCATCCCTAACATGGTCGTGCACGATAGGGTTCTGGTAGAGAAGGGATCGTACCGCTGAGGAGTATTTCGCTTTGGCTGATCGCACGAGATCGAAAAATCTCTTCAGGGCAATGGTTCGCCACGCTTTCCTCGAGGCCACTAAAATTGTTCATTTAATTTTCTAATAAATATCAATTATTGTGATTTCTAGTCCAACAAAAACTGGGTCGAATTGATAAATAAGTTCTTAGAACTACACGGGATTGAGAATCCCGTATAGTTTAGTAGAAAATTGAACTCCACAGGATTCTCAATACTGTAGAGTATAGAACTCTACTAAACTACACGGAATTGGGAATGCCATGTAGTTTATAACATATAAACTACATGATATTCACAGTCTCGTATAGTTGGTTCAGTGGTTAACAGCTTAAGAGTTAAGTTATGAGTTGAAAGGCCATGGTTCGAATCTTATCCAAGTAATGAATTATATTTTTTATGTTTAACCTCTAAATAGATAATTATAAAAATAAAACTAATGTTGGCGATGATGAGATTCGAGTTCAAGACCATTTGAGTAATTGTCTAATTGAAGTCTAACTCTCTTGGAGCTAACCACTTAGGGCCTGTTTGTTTGCCCTAAAAAAAGGGGAAATCAAAGAAATGGAAAACTATTAAATCAAAAAATTGTTTTGGGAGTGTTTGGTTTGCTAAAAAAAAGAAATCAAAGAAATGGAGATGAGCTGTCACCTTATTATAGGATGATGTGAGTGATTTTTTAAGAAAACTTGTTTTGATGTTGTTTGGTTGGCGAAAAAAATAGGAAAATGAATTCTAAGAAACCAATTTCTTAAAAAAGTTTGTTTGGTTATTTCTTAAAAATAAGAAAATAGATGAGCTGAGATGAGTTGTCATTGTATTATTGGGTGATGTGATCCAAGATTAAGAAAAGTGTTTTCACAACTTTTTGGGATGAAAACAAAAAAATAAAATGTTAATGAGATGAGATGAGTTGTCACAATCTTATTGGATGATGTGGGTGATTTTTAAATATGAGATGAGATGAGTTGAGTGATGTTGTTGATGAAAATAATATTTTATTAGATGTGGTGGATGTGATGGATGAGTTGTTGATGAAAATAATATTTTATTAGATGTGGTGGATGAGTTGTTGGATAAAAATAATATTTTATTAGATGTTGTGGGTGAGTTTTAGGGTTGGAAATATGTGAAATTGTACTTTTTGAGATTTCTTGCTTTTCATTTCTATTTTTCGGTTTTTTGGGAAATAACCAAACAGGCCCTTAGTCAACTACACGAGATTGTGAATCCCATGTAGTTTCAATGTTATACACTACACGGGATTCCCAATCCTGGGTAGTTTACTAGAGTCCTAAACTCTACGGAATTGACAATCCCGTGGAGTTTAATTTTCTACTAAACATCACGGTATTCTCAATCCCGTAGTGTTCGTAAAACGTATTTTCCAATTTCAATCTAGTTTCACCCCACGTGGTTAAAACTAGGTCGAAATTGCTAAATAAGTTGTAACTTGGTCGATTTTGGTGATTAAGTATCCAAAAAGGTCTATTTTGAAAATGTTCCTTCTTGAAATGAATCCTTGAAGCTTAAGAATCTCATATAGCCACATTTATCTTGGGTAATGGTCAAACTTGGGAAGACGATCAACACCCGGGGGGAAAACAAAGCCTTTCAGACTTGGACAATGGGATCCCATATCAATGACAGATTGGATTGGCCTAGATGGATGGGAATAAGAAAGCCACATAATCAGCTAGAACTATGCAGAAATTCTTCAATTTTGGATAACACATTCAGCTGCCTCCAAACACCCATATCTAAATATAAAACGGAATCGGAAGCTTTCCTTTTCATAGAACGTGAGTTTTTCTTTGGTTGCTTTGAAAAACAGAATATCAGCATTGTGATCAAGAGGGGAGGGACAGAAGTACACTAGTGTCACATTCAGTGCGGATAAAAGTTGATCGATTCCTTTATCTTATAAGTCTGGAAAATTGTACATTTGAGTGACATAGAAACAACAACGACATACCATCGGCCATTAACTCTTTATAGTTGTAGCGAATGAAATATTCCTTTGACCAGTAAGGTATATAGTTATGGACCTTATGGTAATTATTCATTACTGTACTGCAATACAATTTTGGACATGTTTTACTTCACAGGAAAATCAGTGGATAATCAAAACAGGTCTGATTGAGAAGCTAATTTCTCAATTAACAGTCTTCCGGTACAGAAAAGAGAGACAATAGAAACTTTAGGGTAAAGTTGCAAAGAAGAAGAACATAATTTGAATTATTTACTTAAAACATGTTTAAGTTTAGCCAGACTTATATGCACTGATCCTCGAGCATAAAAAGTAGATAGCGGCGACCCTGCGAGGACATTCAGATATGACCTAGAGCTGTCAAGAGACCCAACCAATCAGCTAATCCTCTCTTGAGGTACGTGGTTTATTATGCATCCTTTTTGTCTTGTGGATGCTTACATCTTTCTCAGTCAAGTATATATTCATGTAGCTTGGACTCTCTACATTCGCCATCTTGCCTCATTAACGTTTTAATAGTGAAATGTTCCAGGGGCCTTCAACGTGCTATTTTAGCTGAAAAATCGATAGGTGATAAATATTTTCTAATGAAATGTCATGAGGAGCTTTACCCCACCATTTTAGCTGATAAAATCAATACAGCTACATATTCTCAATATACATGTTGGAATGGAACAAAACAATGCACAAACCCAATAAAGGTCAAACATAGAGAAGACAAAATATAAATACTTGAGCTATATTGTTCTTGAATGAAGTCTGACTACGGTACAACCATAAGCTTTTATATATTACATTAGACAAAAGCTAAAAAATGTTTAAAGCCATTGGCTTAGGACACAAGATTAGAGGCATAATTGAATCATGCAATCTTTTTATGAATCAAATGATCCAACCATATATTGGTGCAATGTCTATCTAGATCAAAGCGCTTTGCAATATGATTCATCTTCATAAAATCTGGAAAGATTGTCTATGAGTTCAAAGGGAGCAATTCTCTGTATAACTCAACATAGCATACAGTAATAACTAAAAAGGTTGCAAGAGATACAAATAATACATCTGAAACAAAGAACAAATAGGCAGTAAGGAGGCATTCACACGAAAATAGCACAACACGCCATAAACTTACCCAACTTGATTTCTGATGTAGCATTTCCTATAGCATGAAGAATGCTAACAGTTCCACAAGCATTACCCACTGTTTGTTTTGTGAAGTACACATTTTTACTTTGTTCCTGCAAAAGAAACAAAGTACAATTGATGTGTATGAAGTTCATAATTAAATTAAATTAGACATTACTATACATTTTAACAATGGAAAGAAAGGGGAAAGACTACAAACAAGAAAAAGACTGAATTGAAAGTGTCTTGCCAACACCCAGGTTATAGATTTATTCAACGGCGACAGTTTGACAGATTTGAGTGAACAAGGAAACCATTTGCCTCAATTACAAACAAACCTTAAAATGACCCACTGCCCCCCACCACCCCAAAAAAAAAAAGAAACGAAAATTCCAGGAAAGATTGTCTTTCATATTACCATAATGGAGCCAGAAAAAATGACCTCCAGTGGGACAAATATTGCAAATCCAATATTTCCTAACAATTTTTTTCCATTTTGCCACATTGAAGTTGGTAAGAAACAATAAAAAAGAAAAGCTCTTCTGATAGGAGGGAACGCAGCAAATTCGATTATTTTTTAAAAATGTCTTCCATTTTGGCACATGGAACTCGAATAGGGAAAAAATAAAGGTTTCACTCTTTAGTTTCTATGGAAAGTTGAAACTAGAAAAGGAGAATCATAACAGAAATTAACTGATGATGACTTCCTACGAGTTCACCCATCTTAGTAATACACTAGCCCAAGCACGCTCAACTGCAGAGTTCTGAGAGATGTAGTGCATTGTTGTTTGTATGACAACACCAGCATGAACTCACGGATCTGCAGGAGCAACCAAAGCCTCTCGCCCCTCAAGAGCTGCCCTCTTGCCGAACAAGTAGCTGTAGGAGCACTCAAACTAGACTCATTTGATGTTGGGCTCAACGTTACCTGAAACCAAAGCAAACCCATTTGGGTCCCAATCTAATCCAAACTTAATGATTTTTGCACTGGGGTACAAGTTCAGGTCTTTGGTCTTTAGAGAATTAATTATTTCAGTTAATGTAGCTTGATAAATCAGGTTGAGAAGTAAACACATAGAAGTCCATTAGACTGGATTTCAAGTGTGCATGACATGTAATGTTAATCTGATTTCAGTGCCTATAGAACATGTGAATGGGTTAGACTATGCAAGAAGACAAATCCAGGTCACTTTGATCACGCAGTGGAAAGCCAGAATTTTTTTTTCTTTGGAGGGCCAAAATGCAACCATCACACTATGCATCAGTTAGAAAAGCGTTTAAATATGATAATATATAATTAATTTATATATATGAAAGAAGAACGTAGAATAAAAGTTTTACAATTAATATGTTATAAGTTATCCTATGAAAATTTATTTCAAAGAATAATAAAAAGAAAGAAACCTTTTATTTCAAAAGGCCTTGGGTCTTTTTCTACTGGTTAGGGGCTCATTTTAATTGAAATGAGTTTTTCTTTTATTTCAAAAGGCCTTGGGTCTTTTTCTACTGGTTAGGGGCTCATTTTAATTGAAATGAGTTTTTTTCAAAAGGATATTTAGGTCATTTTACATTTTAAAACAACAATGTCAAGAGAATTTTTTGAGAAAAGTGCAAAGATCAGATAAGTTTTGTGAGACAGCCCATAGTGAAGAGGGGTTTTCACAAATTTTCAATGTTTGAGGGGGATTTTCTACAACACCTGAAAACTTGAGGGGATTTACTCAAATTATAAAATTTGAGTGGGGCTTTCTGAGACACGCCCCATAGTTGAGGGTTTTTTCGAAAATTAACCTAAGCTTGTGTTTTAATTAGAGATGGAGCATCATATAGAATGTTGTCATACACCTTATAGCATATTGTTTTTACACCTTTTTAAAAAAACAATATTGTTATACACCTTATAATGTCTACACAGTGCACACTAGTGTATTTCACTTTGGGTTTGAAGTGAAGTATGAAAACATAGAGAGTTATGTGGGTTTAAAAGTACAGATAGTAAAATTTTGGGTTTACAAGTAAATCTCCTGTATATAGTAATCATTTTGTAAAAACTTAGGATGCCACGGCCAACCCTAGCCTCCGCCCCTGATCAGGCTTGAAGAACACTTCGATCACTCTTGGAGGAACACATAGGAATGACCTTACTCTCAGAAAAATTGATCAACAGACATTCTCCCACACTTGGAAAAAAAGGAACTGCCTCCCACTTGGAAAAAAGGAAAAAAAAACTTCAATAGACCATTCATTCCCTTAATAATTTTACTATGCCACTCACCCACGTTCAATGTCATGCACACATCGGGTGCACCAGAATATTAGTATGTAATTAGGGGAAGGTCATATCCTCCTAGAATAGTATATTTTTTAATTATGTGCACATAACCATTTATAATCTTCACGTTTTGTATACTCTGTGAACCTATTATTACATTAATCATTTAAGTTTGATGACAAATAATTGTAATCTATAACGGTCCTCAACAGTAAAATGAAACTTTGTAGCAGCTCTTTCGTCTTTTTTGTAAATATTTATGTTCATAAGGTGAATATTTCATTGTCTGGACTTCAAGTGTGTAAGACGTGACGTGAATCTAATTTGATTGCCTAGAACATGTAAATAGGTTAGACTATGCAAGAAAATAAGTTTAGTAAAAAATGTTTCATTTATGTATCATGGCTAGACACAAGACATTGATGTGTGTGTGTATGTACGTGTATAATATACGTGTTTATGTATATGTATATGCATATGTATGTATATATGTATGGATGTATGTATATGTGTGTATCCGTGAAAAATTGGTATGTTTGGTACCAAGCATAAACTTGATGCCTAACAATTATATATGCTTTGAACGTGAAGGTTGCAGCAATTAGGGCTGTAGTAGGATGATGATTAAATATTTTTTTATGATTTTGTTAGCATCTCATTATATTTGTGCTTGACGGTCTGAAACAGAAATTAATGCGTATAGAACTCTTCGTTTTTCAGGTGATGTTTTCTTCAAGCTCAAGACCAAGGGCTACAAAAAAGAGTAAGTCTACATTCTCAACTTCCAAGTAGGAAGTCTTCATTTTCATTCTTTTTTGCTTTTTAGTTATTATGAGGTTTTGAGTAGTAGGCTTGGGCTTTATATATAGACTTTGAACGTGAAGGTTGTAGCAATTAGGGTTGTAGCCAAGTGAAAATTAAGTGATTATTGATGATTTTGTTAGCATCTCATTATATTTGTGCTTGATGGTCTAAACACGGATTAACTAATTCAAATTAACACATGTGGCACTCCTCGTGTTTGCATGTGACGATTTCTTCAAGCTTTACGACCAAAGGCTACAAAAAAAAGATATAAAAGTTATGGGTTGGATGGCCTTCATCGTTATCCTTATCATAAATTAGAAAATCATTGTTATTTGCATAGAATCATTATGGTGACTAATAGGAGATAAGTGAGAGGAGATAGAACAAATAATTAAGAGTGGAAGACAAGTGGAAGATAAAATGATGCACAACTCTATATTCACCTCGGTCGCATCTTTAAGATCAAGTGGCATACAACTGGCATCAGCATGCTTGAAATGCTACATGTGTTAGGTCACTTTTATTTTACTTTTTTTTTATGAAGATGTGATTCTATAGTTAGGTTCTTGTGACTTCTAGATGTACCTTTTAATTTGACATTTTCATAGGTTTAGTATGTTAATTTCAGTAGGTCGCATACATAGAATCAATATACTCTCGGAAAAATTAAAAATGCAGTTGGCTATTGTGAATACTTCCCCTTTACTTCTTAATTTCACATATCATAATGATGATGTTGATGATAAAGTTCCCACATTACATATGGTGTCTTTCAGGCAATGTTGGAAGAAAAAAATGATAACACATCACCTTTTGTTAAGGTTAAATGCAAAATAATTTCAGGCAATGTTGGAAGAAAAAAATGATAACACATCACCTTTTGTTAAGGTTAAATGCAAAATAACTTAAACGCATAACGTAAGTTACGTGTTTTATTATTGATTTAAATATCTAATTAATGAAAAATATTCACAATGAATTTAATGAATGTGGAATCATCATAGTTTTCAAATATAGCATCACAATTATCAAACACATCATCTCAATTTCTCAAAAGAAATACATTATAAATTTCTAACATCACAACTATATAATCACAAATTTAATTTTGTTCATAATTTCACATTTACTTTATTAGTCACATTCATAATTTCATAATTACATAGTGATGTCACCAAAATAACAAATGAAAGCTTAACAAACAATTCAAAAGTAAGTACATAATTACTTTAAATTTTAAGGAAGAAAATACTATCATGTCATTATTATAAACTATTTTAAAAAAACGTAAGTTATATTCATATAACGCAGGTTATATTCAAATAACGTAAGTTATATTCAAATAGCGCATGTTATTGTAAAAACGTAGAGTTGTAACATATCTACTTATTTTACAAGCTTACGTAGCGTTTAAGGTCTGTAGGTTACATAATGTTACATAACGAGTTATATAACGGGGGGTTTTCCAACTATGCTTTCAAATTTAATAAAAAATCACTCATTATATATATCCAAGAGTACCATTCATACTTTCCAATGTCTCAATATTCAAGAAAGAAGTCTTCATATTATTTTCCAGAAATCTAGTCGAAAGTCCCAATTCTCATTAATTTTTTGCTTTTTTGTTACTACGAAGTTTTGAGTAGCAAGCTTGGGCTTTATATAGACTTTGATCGTGAAGGTTGTAGCAGTTAGGATTATACTAAGGCTAGGATTAAATGATTATTTATGATTTTGTTAGCAACTTGTCACAGCATTATACTTGCGCTTGATAGTCTGAACACGGATTATTAATTAAAATTAATGCATGCGGCACTCCTCGTGTTTGAATGTGACGTTTTCTTGGAGCCCAAGACCAAGCGCTAGGAAAAAGGAAAAATATATAAAAGTTAAAGGGCTAGATAGTCTCCATCATTATCTATATCATATTACAAAATCATCATCATTTTCATAGAACCATCATAGGAACTGATAGGAGTTAAGTAAGATTGTGACAGGAGATAGAACGGTTAATTAGGAGCAGAAGACAAGTGGAGATAAAATGATGTGTGACTCTATAATCTCCTTGGCCACATTTTAAGACCGAGTGGCATACAAGTGGCTTATACACTTCCATCAGTATGCTTGATATCCTACATGTGATAGGTCACTCTTTTCTCTTTTTTCCTTACTTTTTTTTGAAGATGTGATTCTATTACTTTTTTTTTAAAGATATGATTCTATAGTTACGGTCTTATGATTTCTTAAGTATGTTAGTTACAATAGGTTGCATTGCATGGAATAAATATCCTCTCTGGACAAATAAAATGCAGCTGTCATTATCACAAAACTCACTTTACATCATTCTATCAATAAATTAGAATCTAATAATAATAATATTACAATGATGATGATGATAATGAGCATAACAATAATAATAAAGTTTTCTGGTACTCCCGATGCGTGCACATAAAAATGTGAGAAAACAATGTATGGTAATAAACAAATTAATAATGTTCTACATAAAATATTTCCCCACGTTACATATGTATCATTTGAATTTGTATAGTGCATTCATTGCATCATGTGGCATATACTTGTTTGGATGGAAAGAAATCACAAATGTATTGAACAAATAAGGTATCCAAACATGTGATAAAAGAAACTTTTAAGTTATTATTAACTCTAAATGATGTGCATTATTAACTCTAAATAATATGATTTGAATCGCGAAACGCTCACCAGAGATCAAAAACTTCACATCTGCTTATTATTCTCTCTCAAATCCTATATGCATGTGTTGAAGGGAGTTAAGGATTCAGTTTTTCCTTTTTTTCTTGAAGAGAGATGGAGTTATATGCAGATCTTTAAACGTGGGTGGAGTGATTGAAGGAATTTAGAACTTTTATTAGATTTTTTTTTCCAAGTTTGTCCTTATTCTTCAAACTAACTTCCATTTTGTATGAATGTTGAGGGCATTTCTGGGTTTTTTTTTTAATGAAGCTCACATGACTAAAAGTGTGGCTTTTTATTTAAAAAATAGTAGCATTAATTTTGACAGTAAAGATGTATTATCATTGTGATGGGCTGCCAAATATCCTGTATTTGGGTATAATAATACGTGCTGTCCAGAATTTGGACAATGACACAAACAGGAAAGATGAAGAGGAAACTAACACAAGAGAGAGGGTAAGAAGGAGACCTTCAAGGAAACAACATTTCATCATAACTATATACATTGACTCTTGGTGCGTATGACTACAATGTAATAAAATAATAAATATTTATGTGAAGTTAGTGATCACGTAAACAAGAGAATATAAAAATTAAGATGAAAGAGATGGATACCACTAACAACAAAAAAAACAAAGTTCCTATCTCCAAGCTCCATTAGACAAAGTTCCGGAGTGTACAGATCTTAATGTTTTAGAAAGCGCTAGGCACTTCTAGGCGTTGGACCAAGTGCCTAACACCTAGCCACCTAGGTGGGCACTTAAGCGGCACATATGCATTTTTAGCATCAAGAGAGGAATGATTATTTTCAAAGATTCAAACTCCAATGCTCGCCTTTTACCTAAGATGAACTTGGATATAGAGTTTGACCTGATCCATTTTGACTTTACCCATTATCGCCTTTTTAAAAGGCAGCCTAGACCACACTGAGTAATTATATAGGAACTAACTCACTCAATACCTCCCCCTGCAGGCAGCAGAAAAAGTGTTGAAATACATCGTCCATCTAGCTGTCTTCTCACCGCACAATATCAAGATTAACCATACTGACTCTTCCAACAAAAGGCAAATGCATTAAAAACATCACAGTCCTTCCACTACCTGTGTACCTCATGTTGCACTGTGCAGCGCCGATGGCAGTACTTGACCAAATTGAGAAGTGTGTGCGCATATTATTATGGGGTGAGGGAGATAGTAGAAGGAAGATTCACCTCCTGTCATGGGCTAATGCAAGCCAAAAGTTGGTATTAAACAGCTGAGACCTTAGAGAAAGGCGCCAGAGCCCAATGTGGCGTCGCCAATTTTGAAGCCTTTGAGGGGATGTCTTCCATTGGTTGAGGGTGGGTTTAGATGGAGAGTGGAGAATGGTGTGCAGATCAATGTGATGCGGGAGATTGGTTAAATTAAGGGTATTGACAGTTCCCAACCAGTTCTTAGTTCCACACGGTAACAGTTTCCAAGCAGTTTTAAGTTCTGTTGCAGTGCTCTTCAACTTCTTTAGTGAGAAAACTTAAATGATGAACAAACATCCTTACCTCCTTACTGTTCAAGTTGGTTTTCATATTATGGCTTTTCTAAATGCTAGACATTTCAGGAACATTTCAAATATAGTCCTCACATTAGAATCTCAACACATCTCAACCTCAAACTTGTATTCATGATCTAACTTAATATGATCCACGAAAATTGGCATCAAACAAGGACTCTTTGTGAATACCTTTATCGTAATCACTGGATATTAAATCTAATTTCCATTGGCATAAACTGCAAAGGTAAATTTCTACATTTATGATGTTTTTTATTATAGCAAATCAGAAAATTCCATTATCACAAACAAAAGATTAAAAAAAGAAACAGAAATTACTATAGTTTTAAATCATCGC